AGAGAGAGAGAGAGAGAGAGAGAGAGAGAGAGAGAGCCGAAGGAAGTTGGCGAAATGAGAATTCTTGGAATTTATTCGGATTAACACGGTCGGTGAGTTTTCGCGATTGAAAATGCGACTGAGAGGCGTCGCGTCGGAAGCGAAGCGAGAAACGATAGAAAAACAAAAGGATCTCTTCAGAATTCGACGAGAAACCGATTCGTTCATTTTCTTCCTCCTCGATTGTGACGCTGGGAAAACTGTGTCACTTTCTCTGCATGCTTCCACGCGACGATATCCGATATACGTGGACGAGTTACGTAGGAACAATACGCTTGGTGTTATAAGCTCAATAATACAGCGTTAAATGTGAATGTAATTGTCGATACGCGACGTTCCGAACGGTGACACGCTCATTGTTGACAACGCCGTGATCCTTTCCCACCGCTGATCGACCAACGGTGATACGATGATACGTATTAAACTAAACTCGAACAATGCTTCTTTGTCGTCTTTTCCAACAACAAACTCCATTTAAACTCGATTTACACGCTTTTCTGTACGATGGACCCGATGGATCGAAATCCACTCCACTGTTCTTTTATATTTTCTTTTCTTTTTTTTTTTTTTTTCTTCACGAAAAGAACCTGTTCAAATGGTTCGATAATGGGAATGGACAGAATCGAGTGTAAAATTCGTATATACGTCTTAAATTGTCTTAAATTTTCGAAAATGTCACGATGTGAAAGTATATCGTATCTCGAGTTTGATACTCGTATTTTATGCGGTATTTTATACGACGAAAAATTGATGAACGCGATATACGCGTATATAGCGATGGTGGATACGCGAAATACGTGGTTGGTTAATCTCTCGGGGAGTAGGGCTTTAATGCGGTAAATAGCCGAGGAAACAGGCACGATTCCGTTGACACGGATCGGTACGTCTGTTCGTTTGTCTATCCGTCGTCTTTAGGACCGAGTCCCTCTCTCTCTCTCTCTCTCTCTCTCTCGATGTGCACACTCCCGTGTTAATTACGTCCTACATTTACTTTACGTTTCGACGAGGTCTCGTCGTTGGTCATCGTCGCTACATCAATCGCTCGGTGACTTTTCCTCTATGATATACGCCTCGCCGCGACACACGTTAACACATCCTATTGAATCTTGCTTACCAAATATATCTCTACTTACGTACATCCGTATATACCATAGATTCGTACAAGTATCCAGATCGATCCAGTTCCATGTCTCGTATAAATAACGGACGTGAATATCTTTGATATTTTCAATCGCGACACACGTGTCATTGCCTTTACCAAGGATCGTCATCGTTACCAAGGATTCTTATTCGTCACCACGAGTGTTATTTCACCTCGAGTATTCCGTTGAAACGATCGTGTAATAACTCCGCGTAAGATCGAAAGAGAAGAAGGAGAAAGAAAACGCGGATAATACATCGTGTCCCAACCGTTCGATTTTAATATCGTTTTTCAGAATAATGGGGCTAATCGTTAAACGAGTCACGAACTCCGTCTCCCCCGACTTCCTCCTTCCTTCGAACGTGGAAAACGAACGCCGCGCCTCCTTTCTCCAAACTTTTTATTCGAATCGTGTATCGGCCACTCGTTACCGCGTTATTTTACGTCTTTCTCTCTCTCCGTCTCTCTCTCTCTCTTCCCCCTCCATCGCACGTTCGCGCGTGCCCGCGCACTTTACGACTTTCCTTCTTCCATCTTTTCCCTTCGACGGTTAGAGTTCGAGAGTTCGTTCGAGCTTCGTTTCGCGATTCGTCGTTTTTTTCGCACGTGAAAAATTTTTTGAAATTGAAAACGAAGTTTAACACGACTGCGTTATAGAAAAAAAAAAAAAAAAAATAAATAAAAGAAAAGAAAAGAAAAGAAAAATGGGACAATTAGAAAAATGAGACTGTCTAGTGGGATGGATAAGAATCCGACCCCTCGAGCGCAAAGAGTTAACACGTTCGCAGCTACCAGAAAATGTCATGTACATTCTCATCCACTTAGCGTAAATAATGTATATTATAACCTACGTATCGCGCGTATCTTCTTATCGCGATCGTTCTCTCTTTTATCGCCTCCTCGCTTTTTTTTTCTATTCCACTCCATTTTTTTTCCCAACTCTCTTTTCCGACTCCCCTCCATTATATCTTGCATCGCCGCGTTATTATTATTATTTAATTATCGATACCGTACGATAATTATACAACGGGTTATTCTTTCTGTTATAGATCGCAAAATGGGTTGTTTCGGCAGCAAAGATAAGTTGAGCAAAGAAGATATGGATTTTCTTAAATCGCACACAAGATACGACGAAGCAACTATAAAGGAATGGTACAAAGGATTTAAAGTAAGTTATTATTCGAAAATTTATTTATTTTTGTTTGCCAATATTTTTTTTTTTTTTTTTTATCATTATTTCTCGAAGTAAGGAAAGTAGATCGTTGCTCGTAACGAACCAGGATAATATAATCTCGCGCTAGAGAAGGAATATTTAAAACGTTCGTAAACGTACGATTAATTATTAGCACGTCAATCTCTTCGATGTTTTTCGATTCCATCTCGAAAGTTGAGGAGAAATTTCTCTAATTCTTACACGATATTTCATAACGATAAATAATAAATTCTTGACGAAAAGAGGAGATTTTTTAGAAATATCGCGTTCTTTGTGTTATAGCAAGATTGTCCGAACGGTAGACTAACGCCGGCAAAATTTGTCGACATGTATAAAATGTTCTTCCCATCTGGCAACGCGGAAGAATTTTGCGATCACGTTTTCCGTACATTCGACATGGACAAAAATGGCTACATCGATTTCAAGGTAAGATTCTTCGAATCGATTTTTCTATATACCGTACCATTACCATTAGCCGACCGAACGACATGTACGACACAGTATACATATATATATATATATATATATATATATATATACATATATATATATTCGTGTATCTTTTGTCAACGATAATACACGTAAACGCGCGTACAAAGAATAATAGAATAGAATAGAAATTTGAACGTTTGAATTGAAACCTTCGCTTTAAATCGAATTTCGAAACAAATTACAATCTGTCATTCTGATCGAGAGAAAAAAAAAAAGAAGGAAGGAATAAATTTAAAACATAAATTATATTGTTTTTATCTATAATTTAAACGAGGCTATTTGACACTGATGATAAATACGTATTCGGATAATTGTTGTTCTTGTGGTTGTTCTCTTGATACGAAAAACGAAGAAAAGGAAAAAACATGTACATAAACGGTAAGTACAATATGTAGAAAGACGATAGGAGGAAAAAGGTAGGGCAGTGATATAGAAATCTAGCCGATGGCAGAAATTGGCTAGAGGGGCTAGCACGTCGATGGGGTCAATACGAGAAGTGGAGACACTTCGGAGGTCATGAAGAGCAAAGAGCCGACTCGCCCTCGACTTCGTTCTTTAAAACCCTTGCCGTTTGTCTACCTCAGGCGTAGGGTGACCTAGTTCAACCTCTTGCCGTATCTACATCAACGCGAATACTCTGAATTCTTTAACTCGAACGTCGAAACACGTCGAGACACGTTAATAATATCCAAATCGATCGTATCGAAAATTGACAATTGATTTTCCGCTAACGTAAATAAAACTTCAGATCGTTGAAAAAACGCGATTTCGAGTCCGATCGATCTTTTTTTTCTTTTTTCTTTTTTTTTTTTTTTTTTTTTTTTTTTTTTTTTTTTTTTTTTAATTGCAACACTGAGAAGCAAGAGCGTTCAATTTTGTTCGTTACAGGAATTTTTGTTGGCTATCGATGTAACGTCTAGCGGGACGCCAGAAGAAAAACTGAAATGGGCTTTCCGTATGTACGATGTCGATGGAAATGGTGTCATTGACATTCAAGAAATGACCAAGATCGTTCAGGTATTATATTTCGTAATTAACACACACTCCCTTTTTCTCTTATACAAATCTCTTTCATTAAACGATGATAAAAATTGTTTAAAAAAAATCATCGATTTCATCCCTCCTCTTCCTACTTCTTTTAACCAATAACGACTGTTCTTTCTTACAACGAAAGGGAGGAGTGATAACGATCGAATCGAAGACTTTTTTTTCTTTAAACGTACGAATATATAAATTCGAAAATTCTTGCTATTTGACGCGTTTAGATTGAAATTTTACGTAGAATTATACATCTGGTAGAAGTAAATTAATATTCGTGATAAACGATAATTGGATGCAGAAATAAACGACGAAAGTTTATGATTTCTTCGACAATTCGAAAATCATGGTCATTTTTCACGAAAATCAACAATTTTCTTTAAAATGTTTCGAAAAATGCAGCGATCGAATTAGCAATTGATCAACAATTAACGAATTATCCACACGCATCTAGACGTCTAGACGATTCCCCAAGGATGTGTGTCGATCGATCGTTACGTAAGATACGATTCCAAGCATAAAAGTTGGAGGAATAATCGCTTACAAACGGTACAATTAGATTGAATATTAATTTAGTTCACAAATTGAAAATAGATTGGGAGAAATTAATAATCGGGACGATGGAAACGCGGCCATTGCCGAAACGTTCGAAAATGTGCGAGTTAAAAACGATTGAATATATCGAAAAAGGAAGAAAAGATTTTACGAAAATATTCAAAGCATATTCGTTAAACAAAAGGGATTTATATTGTTATATAAAATATAAAAACTACATTCCAATAATTCTTTTGATTGAAAGAAAAGAAAAGGTTCAGAAGCAAGAAGCGAGGAGAGAAAAGTTATTGCACAGAATTAAATATTTCTTTAGATATATATATAAGAAAGTGGATCGATGAAACGAAGCAAAATGAACGATGAAAGAAAGAAGGAAGGTAGACGATACGAATTTTGACAAGAGAAAATACGAGAAAGATACGAAAATCCACGTTGCTTCGGGCACAAAAGAAAGGTTAGAATGACTTGGAAAAAGAAGGTTTCATCCACTTTGCTACAATTAACCTTCGATATAACTTGATCGATCCAGAAACAGGAGCAAATACTCGATTGAATGGAAAGTAAGCGGAGAGCACTCGGAATGCGATTACAACGCGATGACGGAATCCGAAAAGGAAAATGGATGGAAGAAACGAAGGAAGGATTCGTTTCGCTCGACTTCTTCTTCGAATATCGAATTTTGATACTTTTTCGAGTCAACAAATCCAACTTTTGTATTTTATCTCTTTAATTTCCAAAACCACCTTCGTTTTCAACTAATTTTTATTTTAAAAATTCACTTCATTTCCGTGAAAAATGGCCACGATTTTTTTCGAGCTTTATAAAATCGCCAAAGTTCGAACGAAAAATTTCTCTGTGCAACCACGACAAATAACGAATTAACAATTTTTTCATTCTCTGTATATATATATATATATTTTTTCATTCTTCTTTTTTTCGAAATCTTTACACGAAATTTTTACTTACCGTGAAATAACAGATTCGAAATTAATCGAGTTTTATCTGAAAAATTTCCTCTCTTTCTCTCTCTCTCTCTCTCTCTCTCTTTTAATAATTAATATTTTAAATTAAAATTCTGCGAATACTTACAGTATTCTTCTTCTGACGCGTAATATTAAAAAATATATAAATAGATTAAATTAATATAATATCGAATATAAAATTTCGATGGAAAAATAAAAAGAGCGTGGAATGAAATTAGAGTCAAGAAGCAAATGGAAATCTATAAAACGCGAAATGATAACTATGCAGGAACACGATTTCTCGATTATTTTTATCTTTTCTCGAATCACCAATTTCACCAAGATACGATACAATAATAGGTTGATGAAATAAAAAAAAAAAGGAAAAGAAATTCTGAACTGATTTTTTATTTACCCTCGCGAAAGATTTCCCATCGATCCAAGTAAATCGTTTTTCTTTAGATATACACGAATATCTATCATCGAAAATAGAATTGGTTCGTCTAATGCATATTCGATTTTTTTCGAACGGAAATTAGATGGATGGCGGGGAGAGTGGTAAAATCGATCGACGGACGAGGAATAAAAAGGAATAGAAAAAAAGGACGATGGACCGTTACGTTAGAAACATCTTATTAAATATACGATGTTTTCTGTTTGTAGGCAATATACGACATGCTCGGAGCATGCTCGAGCAACAGACCGGCAGATAGCGCGGAAGAAAGAGCGAAGAACATCTTCGCGAGAATGGACGAAAATAATGACGGTCAACTTACCGAGGAGGAATTTTTGAAAGGTTGCCTTCAAGACGAGGAACTTTCAAAAATGCTGGCCCCTTAATTTCCGTGTGTCTTATCTCGGATCCGATGATGACACGCCAACCGAGACGAATTTCAATTACATCTATCCTTCCGTACCGATCGTTCTATATTATATTCCATATAATATCATCATCGAACACGATAATCGGTGCGATTGCCAACAAAAATATCGAAGGAAAATCGGTGTCTTTCCACGGTGTCTAACTTTCGACTCGAATCGACAAATCTCCTCCCCTCCCTTCCCAACCCATCCGAATTTCAATTTTCACCGACTCGATACGAACGTTCACTCGGGAAAATTATTACAAATCGATGTTAAACGGCGAGAAAAAAGAAAGAAAAGAAATAATTGGACGAAGAAGACAAGTATATTTCGTTTTGTCAACCAACGTAGAATTTCGCGATATTCTTGTCGGATCGAGATCGCATCGAGTTTGAAGTTCGACCGATGCTTCCACACAGCAAGTACCTAAAAATTGACGTTTAAGGTAAAACGTTAATTATTAGATTTAATGATAATTTGACAGTTTTTCTCTCTTTCTCTTTCTCTCTCTCTCTTTCTCTCTCTTTCCAAAGTTTCGAGATCGAAACAAGTTTGGACAGTTTGCTCTCCCTTCAAATTCGAACAACGACGAAAAAAGTGCTAGGACGAGAGTGATGGTAACACAACGAATCGCGAGAGAGTACTGTCGTCGAGTAGATAGGAGAAAGATTTTCGATCGAGGAATGCAGTTTTATATTGCACGATATACTTCGAACGATACGTTTTACATTGAAGAAAAAAAAAAGAAAGAAAAAAAAAAAAAAAAAAAAAAAAAAAAAAAAAGAAAAAAAAAAGGTACGTCATATTAACGTATTAGTTAATCGATTCAATTGTTCGTTTCTCACTCGGAAACTATCCGTTCCCATTCATTCCCGATACATCACACCGATGTATCACACAAGATGGAAGATAATATTCTCACGAGTTTACAAAACGAGTTGAATATTATAATGGAACGAAGAAATTTCGCGTTCGATAGCTTCGCTTTTTACTTATATGTATAGCCGTTCGATAGACGGACCAAAAGTGCCTAAAGTTCGGCATTTCGACAAACGTACGATGAACGTAAGGCAGGTATACGATGTACACGGACGGATTCGTATTTAAATAGAAATGACCTAATAATCGTTGTACGAACGATCGAAAAAACAAATTCCACGCATACACGCCACATTCGTTGGTATAAAAAAATTCGTATCGAAAAAAAATACGATGCGTCTTTCTTTTTTTTTTTTTTTTTTTTTTTTTTTTTACGTTTTACGTTTTCGTAGCGAAAAATTCAATCGCGTATCAGATCAGCATAGACCGAACACGTTCAAACAGAGATAAATCGTATAAGGAAATTTCAATTTTACGTCTATAAGTTAATTTTACACCGATCGTTCTTTCATTTTCCAACTTTCTATCTACCGGTGTAAATATTACTGTACTCTATCTATGAACCGAGCTTAAAACGAATATTTTACGCGCGCGCGAATCGTGTATCATTCGCATTGTTAATCACGAAACATCAAACGCTTTGATCGCTTTCGTAGAATTTTTCAACTTTCGTAATTAATTATTCGTACGATAACAAAGCTTTTATCGACGTATCTTGCAAAAGTAAAAATCATCTTTTTTTCCCCTTTCATCCAACAATTCTGCCGAATATTTTGTATTTCGAGGAATTTCGTCCTTTGTAGCCTAAATATCGCATTTAATATATATATATATTTTTAATTTTTCTGAAACTTTATGAAATTCTAATATCCTATTCGCAATTTTCTTTGACGTATAATTTCCCATATTGTATATGTATATAGTGCGGTGAACGTGTATGTGACGTGTAACACTCATATACATCACCTAAAACTGGAACTCGAAACTTTTTCCGTTGTTTTTAGCGATAAAAAAAGAAGAAAGTATATCGATCCACGTAATCGAACACGATTTGAAACGAATTAAAATTATACGTAGTATTTACGTGGTGAAAATCATTGTAAATATCCAAAATCGTATCGAAAATTATTAAAATTATTATCAGAAGAAAAATATATCTATTGGAAGCTTGTTCGAACAAATGTAGAAGAAGGATCGATCTCAAGAAATTGAACGATTATTCTACCTACGATATAATACGTATTTCTACAATTCCTAAATATTCCTATCCTTTTTTCTCTCCTTAAAAAGAAAAAAAATTGCGATTTAAAATGTCGAGAAGTGGAAAAAAATGCTTGGAAGAAGCAATTGACGACACGATATTTATTTACCTTTGTAAAATGGATTATTTCAATCGATTTTCTCTTCAAAGAAATGTTGGGTTCTAGTCTTGGGTGATCCACAATGCACACATACTTAATTATCCGTGGTTAGCGGTATGGAACGATTCGCGGTATACGTACAACTGAGAAGATAAACGGTCGTACGAAGAATTGACTTGGAATGTCCTTTTATCTGTCTGGCTCGAATATCAACAGTACGCATCGATACGATAATTATAGAAAATTTAACGGTTCAAACGTGTGAAAATACAATCAAATACTCGACTTTTTGGTGTCGTATTTTTCACCATACATTGATCCATAACTCCACAACGACACTTATATATATATATATATACACGCAACAATTAAGCTAGCAATGTATATGCGTGCAATATAATATATCTACTACGAACAATATTTAGCGTAATATGCATCAAACATCACGCTCCTTAAATTAGGATAGTAATAATTGTATTTCAAATCCATAGTTTAACAAGGTATCGAATAAAAAAAAGAAAAAAAAAAAAATGAAAAAACAGGACAACCGTGTTGTCCCGTTAAAACTCGTATTAATTATGATTTAAGCTCAGAGCGTATCTGTGTGTGTGTAGTGATATATTAATCCGAA